CAGACCATTATTCTTTCTAACATAAAAAGTAGCTAGTGCTAGGCAGTCAACTCCATATAAATAGAGTTATTGTAACCACTGAAAATTAATTGGTAGCAATACAGTTCTCATCAAGAAGAAAGAAAACCAGGCTGAACAAGGTAGCCATTTATGGCTTGGCAGCAACTCTAAACGAGACAGAAACAACATGCAATATCATTTTAAGTGAAGGTAATATAGAAGTTAGAAAGCAACTCTAAAAGTAAAAAAGATGAAATCATAAATAGAAGTTTGATTGAGCTATCCTAAGCTGAGACAGAAAAATTATCATGTAACTGCTTGAACCGTACTATAACACAGAGAACTTTGAGAACAGGTCAAAAGGAATACTACAATCAAAGAATTTCAAAGAGAGAGGGAGATAACGGAGCTCATAAAAACACTTAAATAACTGTTTCCATACAAACGCTATTCTAAAACACAGAAAGTGAGATGATCTGAAGTCCACTGTGCATCACAAATCCAACACTTATACCCACATAAGTTCCTAAATTCAAAATGATGGCACTACAAATGATTTCCTCTGAATTATATAGATTCGTAAAAGGAGAGAAAGTAGCCTAACGTCCTAATCCACTCATAAAACTCAACAAATGGAAGGATGTATAGTCGATGTACAAGTAAAAATCAGAGTTTTCATCCATTCCTCAACAAAAACAGCTATAAAAGTCCAGTAAAAAATACTCACCTTCTTCATCTGAAATCAAGCCTAATATTCTCTCCATCAAATCCTACACAGATAGATGTAAACAATAAGATCATCTTAAGTATCAGGGGAAATCTCCCTCTTCAAGGGGCATCAAAACACAATGTAGCTACAAAATTTAATATATACTGAATAACCAAGTCTTGTGACACAAGCCATAAACCTGATTGTCTAATCCACCAAGAAATCACACAAACATAATGAGGAAAAGGAATTAAATTAGTGAAAAATGTCCATACAGGGGAATTACAATCAAAATTTGAAGGGAAAAAAATGATTAACCCAAAGAGGAGCAAAACTATAGCACAAAATGATAACCCATTTAAGAAATAACAAGTGAGTAATGGGTGTCAAAATAAATGAAAACCCATATTTCTTAGTTATTTGGCAAGCAAAATATTGAGAACAGTTACCATTCTTTAATGTAATAAATAGCTATTCTTTGAGATGATTGATCACGTGCAATAATTACATTAGCAAGAAACAGAAGATATTGTGACATGACAAATGTTCTGTATTGCATTAGACCTATTTGCAAATAGATTTTCTCATTCAATAAAATTCAAAGCATGCAGATATTGTCAATTGTACTGTGAAACCAAGAATGCAACTGAGCATGAGTTTAGCAGCTTACCTGCTTCTTCCCTTGTTTTGAAATACCAAGCTGGGTAAGAACATCCTTGAGCTCTTTAATTCGGAAGTAAGCCAACTGGCTCTAAACATAGATGCATGACACCAAAATGAAAAGTTCAATTTCAATTATTAAACTTTATAAAACTATCCTATATAAACCATAAATACTTCAAATTAACAATTTCAATATATCATATAATTTTATGGCAATCTACACATCCCTACTACTCTCTTCCAAAAGCATTTTTCCAATCTTGACTATGTTGCTTTCCAATAAATAATTTCTGCTCTTACTCTCACGTATACAACCTATGTACCAGCCAGCCAGTGCATTTACAATTTATAAAGCATCCATACACAATAAAATGTCCATACAAAAGCATTATCAAAAATGAAGAGATAAACAATTGATTTCAAAAACTCTAGAACACACTTTAGAGCTCCATGACAGACATGACAAGAAAGACTGTTTTGTAAACACAATAACATTAACAAGAATTTTCATTCTAACACAAAATGATAGAGGAAAATCTTGAAAAAAAAAATGCAATTATCATTGTTCCACGAAAAGCTTGTACCACATATTCCTTACGAAGTTGCAATTAAAATGATCAACTGCATATCAAACATAAATAAAATTAATTTTATTCCGCACACGTTCATCTGTTCCCTAATTTCAATTATAGTTGCAAGCATCCAAGTTACAATTGAAATTATATGTAAATTCATATAGAATCATTGACAATTATACCTGCCAAAAAAATCCAAACACTCTAACCAAAGCTTTTTTCGTTATTTAATATACATAAATTAATAATAATCAAATTATAAAAATTAAAAGCAACCAAATAATCAAGATGAATTACCCTGCAAGTAGACAGCAAATCCATTCCTCGTTCACAAATAAAAATAAAAACGAAAATTATCTCTGCCAATCATGAAAATAAAAGAATACATATAAGTTGATTATTAAATTGAAGTATCGTAAATTGAAACGAAAAATAAAAATCAAATTAAAAGTAAAATAGAGGGCTCACGCTGGACTCTGGACCTCGGAGTTTTTCAGTTACTGTCGCAGAAGCCTTGACTCACTGAGACCACTTCACCCTCCTTATATACGAGCAAATTTTTAATTTATAGAATTAAATTAATTAATAAAATCAAAATGGACGTGAACTTGATTTATTAAATCTGGTTTTGGATTTTCCGTACATGTCCGGGGGGTTCGGATGCGGTGTTTCCAGTGGAGTGGAGATTCCGTTGCATGGAATATTCTCATTGGACGGTGAGATCTCTGATGCCTAATGGGCCACTAGTCGTCTGACGCGTGTCGAGTTCTTCTGGCTTGTGATGGAAGCAGTAGCAAGAATTGGCGTGACAATGTGTGTTTTTTTGGTTTTCAAGGGAACGAAAAATGTCATTTTGGGAAGGAAAGAATCGACGGACGGGACCCATTGGAAGTCTGGGCAACCAATGAAGGAAACGCAGCTGTTTTCCACTCTTACTACAAAAGTAAAATTACGAATATGACCAAAAGGTTAGTAGAAATTACAGGCCCAACCTTGGGTGGGGCCTAGCCTAGCCCATGGACATGCATTTTTTAATGGAAGTGTTAGGCAAAAAAGGCTTGTGGATGGAAAATATTTGGAATTTGTGAACAAAGAGATAATTATTTACATAGAGGTTTTTTCAAATCCTATGTTTTAAGTAGAGAGATAAATAATCGGATACTATAAAAAGATATATTTGATGAATTATCAATGTATAATATTTATATATTATCATTAAATTATATAATATTTGTAAAAAATTAAAATTTTAAATTTTTTTGAATAAAATATTTTTAAAATTATAAATTTTCTTAAGATTCTCAATTATTAAATTTATTTGTTTAAAAAGATGACAACATTTGATTATGATACTATATAAAATCTAAATAATGGTAGTACATTAAATATAAATCCAATTTCAATCTTGCCAAATGAATTTTAAATTGTATGGTATTTCAAAGTAGATTTGATATAATTTGATTTAGTTGGTTAATCTAATTTAAATTCTGAACTTCAAAACTTAAAATTCAAATTGTTCCATTTTAAAGTTCAAAAGTTTTTTCAAATAAATATTTTTAAAATTATAAATAATTTTTTTAAGATTCACGATTATTAAATTTATTTATTAATAAGATGATAACCTTTGATTCTCTAATTCCATATAAAATTTATTCAATGACAATTTATTAAATATAAACTCGTAATCAATCTTATAAAGTAAAACTTATGTTGAATGATCTTTCAACTTATATTTTATATAATATGATTTGATCGGTTAATCTAATTTAAATTTTTATAAAATTCTATCTTATTTGATCGATCCAACCTTTGTTTGATGACCATTGACAGTGCGATTCTTATGGGCAACCTCTCCTTTCATGACTTTATCTTTGCTCGATATAAAATCACAAAAGAAAAATCAATATCATAATTTCTATTTCGTTATTAATAATTATTCAAGTTGTCACTAAAGATAGTAATGGATATCCGCAACTATCCGATTCAGACAACAAATTTAATTATCACTTCCCAACTAGTAAATATTTTGTTCCGATTGTATCAAAATGGAATTTCATTTTCTCCACTACACTTCTATTACATAATTAAAAAGGGCTTCTTCATTTAGCCACGTGTCAGTTAAGAGGATGGCCACGTTTTTTAGATATAATAATTTAAAGCTTGATAGTTGATTATTGTGGATCTTAGGGTTAGTTTAGGGGTGATGAGATTTAGGTTGAGCTTTTTTAATCTTTTTTTCGACCTTTCTATTTGGTAGGTTTAATATGCTATAAGCTGGCAATGTTGGATTGGTTTTGTGTTGATGGGCCATTTAGATGGAGAGAACAAAAAAAAAGGGAAAAGTAGGGGAAAAGAACATAAGTAATTATAATAATTGGTCATAAAAATATTTTGATGATTTTTTATTATTTGATTTGATGTGTTTATTCTACTCTTTCTTTCTTTTGTTCTATTAAAATCTTGATTATAACAAATAATTAAATTATTGTTGTAATAAACAGAGTAAAAATATGGGATAAAGAAAAAGAAAAAAAATAAAAATATATAAGTGATTGGTAAAGTATATGAAAAATGTTTTGATTATTTTAAGAGGATAATGATTTTATGAAAAAAATAAGAATGATATGCAATTGGGTAAATAGTAATTTCATTGGTTATAAGATAATGAATAAATTGAAAGAATATATCAATGATAATTTGATTAATATGAATAAAAAGTAAACATGTTTATTTTATATAAATTGCTAATCTACAAATGTTGTGAATGATTTTAAAATCTATATTATTCTATATGTAATTATTTAAACGTTGCGTTTATATTTATAAAATAGACATATATGAATAAATTATAGATAATAATCAAAAATATAAATTCTTTATTTTATAATTATCAATTTTTTTTAAAAAAAGATAAATCAAAACATGAATCTATAACCTATTTAAAAGGAAATCCATTTGCTACATGTGAGTTAACAGAGTATCTACATCAAGACTTGAAAAAGGAATTTTAAAACTCCTGAAAATTAAGTTGGAGACTAGCATGTGATGGGTTGAGAGTCAGAGAAATTATGATAGGTTTGCTGGTTTTGACAAATGGATTCTTGACCCGTGTGCAACGCAAGGGTCATAACTCTTTAGTATTTCTAATTTCCTCCCTTTAATTTCTTGAACGTGGAAGCTTAAGAGCTTATCCCTTTCCCCTGCTTCCATCTCTTTTCGAAAAATCTCTGGTGTCAAGTGGAAAATGAGCTCACTGCCATTTGCAGTTGGGACTTACTCTCCCAGAAACCTCAGCAAACCCCATTCCAAACTCCTAACAAAGAATGTGGATAAAGCAGTTACCAGTATTAAATGGTCAAGCAACAAGCAAAGCATCTCTCCCACTGAGCAGCTAAATGGGAATCCCGGGGCTTTCAAGAGAAGGGAAGCAGTTGGTTTTGGTCTTTGTTTCGGCCTGCTTGAAGCTGGGTTGTTGCAACTGTCACAGCCCAGTGCAGCTGCAGAAGAAGCTCCCTGTGAACTAACTCTAAGCCCGTCTGGCTTGGGTTTCTGTGATAAAGTTGTAGGGAAGGGCCCTGAGGCTGTTAAAGGACAGCTGATAAAGGTAATGGATCCATTGGAGAGGAATGGTTTACCATTTAAGGTCAGCAAAGTTGTGTTCGTGGTTTCTAGTATAATCTTAGTCCAATTAAATCTACTAAAATGAAAACAGGCACATTATGTTGGGAGATTGGAGAGTGGGAAGGTCTTTGATAGCAGCTACAATCGTGGAAAGCCTCTTACATTCCGCATTGGTGTTGGTGAGGTACTTTGTTTTCTTTGTTTCTAATATTCTTAGTTCCTTAGAACTGGCTTTAAGATGCAATCTATGTTACTCAAACTATAGGCGAGTGTCAGGCACGAATACGCTTCATATATTAGGAAAATAGGATTTCCGTATCCATATTCATATACGTCGTGTCATGGTTCACATCAATTTACAAAATATTATTCAAAGGTGTAGGTTGAAGATGGTGTGAGTACTAAAATACCTAGTCGTACTCTAGTACATAGCTGAGATAGAATTTATGATTTTCCTTCAGGATCATGACATATTGGATATATATACAACAACTGCTAGCTTGAATGTTTAATCAATTTCTTGTGAATCAGAACAAAAGAAAAAGGGTTTTTCAAATTGATCTTCATGTATTACCACAGGTCATCAAAGGCTGGGACCAAGGCATATTAGGTGGTGATGGAGTTCCTCCCATGCTTGCTGGTACGATAAATCTTAATCTTAATTCACTGTACTAATTAGACTACTACTAGTAACTATTAAGATGGAAATAAGTTCATCAAATCTTTGTTTCCTGCTACATAATTTAGGGGGAAAACGAACATTAAGGCTTCCTCCAGAACTTGGATATGGTACAAGAGGAGCTGGTTGTAAAGGAGGTAAGCAATTAAAAGTAGCCTTCTACACCTGTTTTTTGTTGAATTATCCATTTATCTGGCAAAAAAAACAGAGGAGAAGCAGGGGAAATGGGGATAATATACCTCTCATAGTTTAGTTTTCCATGGTTGTAGGTTCATGTATTATTCCTCCAGATTCAGTTCTGTTATTTGATGTGGAATTCATTGGCAAAGCATGAAAGAGCTTCCTTTTCTCACCAGAATCCAATGAAAAGGCTTCCAACTATGCTGTGGTGATCTTTTTCTTTTGGTGGTGAAGAAGTAGAAAGTTTGCAAGAAATCACACTTTTAATCCTTCTTTTAAGTTTTGTAGTTGTAATGAATTAATTGAAATTTATTGTTGTGACAAAACCCTGTCTTAATATTGTATACAGAACAAAGAGTTTTACAGATAAATAAATAATAATGAGATTCATGGATGTGGCTACTATCATTGGGGCGAATACTTGGTGCTTTGCTATGTTTAACCAACTACCCAAGAGGGAGGGAATGGAGCAATACCCCATCATATGGTTTCTACGAAGACATTGGGGGAGTTACAGACAATGCCTGCATATCATATATTTCTCCATTTCCAGCATCTGCTGAAGCAACCAATTCTAGTTCAGACTATTAGCAGAAGAATATGTAATTATTGAACTAAATGTTCAGAAGCAATCTTCTCAGCAGATGTTAGTGTTGACGACGGAGTTCCATCAATCAGAGCTTAATACAACAATGATAATCCTTCGAAATGAACCATGTTTGCCTATAACCATTGTATACTACAGCACAACTTAAAATTCAAAATCCCTTCCAGCAAAAGGAAGTGAAAAACTGGGAAAGAATAATGCTTCAGTAAAATATTGTCCATAGAAAGTTAGCTCACGGCAGAAGAGATGAGAAAAGTGACCATAAAATAAAAAATTTAATTGTCCATTATATACCATGATATGTAAATTGTAATACGGAGATTAGCATTGAGACAGCAACAGGGCGATTTACAGGGCATCTGTGCTTTGGTCATATTTGTCGGAAGCAGTCATGCTGGAAAATGATCATGTCGCTTGGTTATGTCCTTTATCGAGCCAAAACCAAGATAGTTTCACCGCCTAATTTTTAGAAGTGCTTCCCTGGTTATTGTTATTAATGGAATGCAACCAAAGACAATTCTTATGCTACACTTATCCATCAGGTGATACGATCAAGAGGAAGGCTTTTTACTCCTTTTCTTGGCTGTTTTGGCAATAGCATCACAAATCTCTTTTTTCCGTTTGTTGTTGTTATTATTGCCACCTGCGCTTGCTGCACTCTTTCCCCGACCTTCCAAAGCATCCTTGACAAAAAATTTTAACCTCCATAGGGTAGATTCACTCTGCATAATAGAATCAAATAATTAGGTATTGAACCTTGATTGAGCAGATTGAATAAGGGTTCCAGAAAATCGAAAAACATAATTACAAAAACACCAAAATTATTTAGATTTTATAACCTGAGCATCAATGTCAATCTCCACCTCTTCAGCCATAGCTTGAAACCCTGGATTATTTTGAGCAATAATCTCCAATGCCTTACCAAGATCCTCAGTAGACAATCTGGCAATGGCTGTCCCAAGATTTCTTTTCTCTTCAGTTGACATTTTCCTAAAAGAGCATTCAAAAATACCGTTCAAATTGAAAGCTTGACCAGATTTTACATGCTCACAAACAAGTGTACACAAGGTTTATCACAAAAAGAAATGAACTCACCCCTCAACCTCTGCTCCTTTTTATATTTCTTATTATTCTTTTTTTAAATTGCCAAACTAATAATGACAATCCTAAGCTTGTACAAAATTTAACAAATAAAAATTGAGTTTTCTGAGTTCAAAGTTTGCTCTAAGACAGTATATTTTCATGGACTATACTAGTTAAGGATAGTTATAACACTTGTCCATAACACCCAACATAAAAATAGAAACAGAAGGTTAACAAAAGTTGAAAAAGCAGACTATATTCATGACAAATCCAACCTTAATTAATTTCATTAGGGCAGTTCGGGGTGCAATCCAAGTAAAGTGGGCATGACTGCACAAACAAAGATCTTTTGATATAATATATTTAGTAAGTAAGATGGAAAAATCTCAAGCAACCTTCAACAATAAACAACAAGTTTTACCATGCAACAGGCTATGTTCAAAAACATACAGACCAATCTATTTTACTCATCAGAATAATTATCATTCTCAATTGTTTAAAAAAAATGACTGACTAACAAATGCACCCAGGATAGTTGCAAATACACACAGAACATGACACAGATACAAACAGAGATACTAAGAGAGAAGTTAACTAAGTCATAGTATATAAGTTTTGTTAGACTGAACAAAAATAAATACACATAACAGTAGACAGATGACCAATCCAACTCTAAGTTTACAATATCCACTCTGCCATACACAAAGTTGTAGAACCAACCTGCACTTTTGAACAACTGTTTCTCTGAGCTGTTCCAGATGTGTATCAACCTCATAAAGCTGCAGAGAGTTCAACATTGTACTTTGTAAACATTCTGCCGATTGAACTACACTGTGACCATCGGAAAACCAATTCCAACAGTCTGGAAGATATTTGACAGCGTAGGTCTACATAGCTATTTACGTTTTATAATATCTTTACAAAGGTTGCAAAATTTTAAGATACCTCATTACATATCTCCCGGACCAGTTTGGCATGAGCAGCCTCTCGCACAAGCTGAATATCTATCTGTGCTTCTGCCTCCTCCTCTTCTCGTCTTTTCTCCTATAAGCATTAAGCACAAAATTATAAGGTTTTTTTATTTAAAAAATCAGGAAATAAAAAATGGAATTAATTTAATATTGTTTTTAGCAAAAAGCAATGCTAATGATCCCAGTAAAATTATGGAATACAAGCCATGAAATCCAAAGCAGAGCTAGTCACATTGGGATAGCCTGACATGAGCTTTACCTCTTCAGTAACTTTAGGAAGAAGTTGCTGCCACTTCTCCTCAAATTTTTCCAACAAAGTTTTGGCCATTAAATGAACATCACTTCCTTCATCATTGTATTTCATTGCATTATTGAAAACTAATCTTACATCAGCACATATTTCTCGAACATTCTTATATCCAGTACCATCCTTAGCCTCCATTTGGTTTTTTATTGTACTGAAGTCCATTGGCTTTTCAATAACCTAACACAGGAAAAATAAAACAAATTAATCAATAAACCACTTCCAAAACCATATAGAAAGATTCAGAAAAAAACATATAGTATGTGCAGCAATATTTCCAGTTAGATACTACAGCTTGTCATGCCTATTGGACACTAAAGTCTGCACATGATGGTGCTACCTTACACACTTAGGAAAGCATCCCAATATATAAATTTAGTACTGCCAAATATGATAATGTGCGTAATGCATCTTTATCACCTAGGTTGAGATAAAGTCCATAAGTAAAAAATATTCTTGTTTTCCATGACTTATTGATGCCTTCAGCTCATCATATTGATTTTCAAAAAAAAAAAAAAAAAAAAACTCATCATATTGAAGATACAAAGGGCCACATCATCTACAAGATTATTCAAAAAGAAGATGATATGGTCATGAACATACGGTGCACATACTGCATATGGCTTTAACAAAGGCTAAGTTATTATCGTGTTATTCAAAAATTTGTAAACTAGCATACGAATTCCTAGATTATGCCCACCAGACTCCTCAGCTCAAACAGGATAATAACAAGAAAATGGACAGTTTACATACTGGAAAACTGAAAGGAAGCAAAAAAACAATTGCAATACACATTACCTCATAGTAGTCATGTAAGCCAAGACCTTTGACATCTACTGGTTGCATAAAGGGCCACGCCCACTTGTGCTGTGTGATCTGTAAGAGGGAAAACGCACATCAGCAAAATTTCTTGCAACTTATCAGCAGTATTCTATAATATTGCTCTTTTTATCCTATAAGCACCAAAATTATGAGATTCTATCACTCAGAACAGTCAACAAGCACATTTCCACATATAACGCTTAGCTCCTTTTATAAACTTTTGGGGGCGCGGATGTGTGAAGAGCAATTCTTATGCTCCTAATAGAAGCATGATCAGCAGTCTTGAACATATATTACAGAAACAACTCCCTCTATGTTGCCTGATATAACTCACAACAACAGCAATAGTAAATACATCAACAAATTAATAACGTTGTGAATTAGGCAAAAGATAAATCATATCACCCATGTATGAGTGCTTACTCGGTTGATTTCCTTGAACTAGATACGAAAGATGAGAACAGGCTGTTCAAGAATCTTAAATTAAAATTTTAAATTAATCATAAATGATTGAAATTGACTTCAAATGACCACTATAATTTCTAATGCATGCTAGACCAACATTCTACACAATTGAGGACGTTCAAGACTTAAAGCAGTCCAGCAACTAAACAAGTATGCACTAGGCAGGCTGCGAGCATTCTGACTGAGATAACAGTTACAGCATAAGATAGCTGAAATCTAATATTCACTGGCAGAGCATAAGCGATTACCTGACGCAATAGTGTGCCAAACTGGCGCATGAGCTCTTGCATTCTCTTTGCAGCAGCTGCTTCTCGTCGAGATGCATCTTGCTGCTGCTTTTTAATGCTTGGAATGTGTCTTTCCTTATCTCGCTCCTTTCCGATTGAGCTACCCCTAGAACTACTCTGTTGTTTTTTATTTGTATTCAAGTAGAATTGTTCCACTTCATTCACTCTTTGCTCAAGCTGCAAAGAAAAAACAAACATTTTAAAAATCACTTAATACGCAAAAATCTGGAAACTGGAATCCTGAAACAGATCCAACGAATATTGAAGCATTGTCCCATTTCCTTTGAAGGGCAAAGAAAATAAAGCAATATGATCAACATTGTAGTAACAACATTACTGGAAATGGTCAATAGCTGCGAATATGGGACAGAATTATATGCTATAAAAGATTATATCTCATGGCCTGTTCATTGAATACTTTCTATTTTGAAGGTTATACTTATGCCTAACAGGTTACAATGATAATAGAATAATACAATCTTTTTAACTAGTCTTGTTTGAACAGAAAATTATGAAATCAACACTAGAGGCAAGAATCGATACAAATTTCTAATTTATCACTTCTCTTACCTCATCAACCTTTTGAAAGATTTCATCAACACAACATCTGAATTGCTCCACGTCTGCACTATTATCTTTGGAAATTCCCATCTCAGCATTTCCAATATCAGGAATTGATGCCATCACCGGTTCCATCTTATCTTGAAATGGAGGTGAAAAAGAATAACAGTGAATGACATATAACTGTTAAGATAACAAAGATACCAGTAAGAATATATGCATTCGTGAAGGTAACATGGGTAACAGCAATTCCAAAAGAAAGCAGGAAGAATTGGCGAAATATACAGAAACTGAGTCAATCAAAAATGTTCAAGGACTAAAATTCAAACTTCTCTGAATTCTGGTAGAACACACCAGTTTAGAATTCGGATAGCCCTTAGATGATGATGATATTTTAAGAATTCTTTTTCCATAAAGAAGCAATAAGTTCCCCTTAATTTTGCTAATTAAAATTTACAAATTCCAAATCTCCATCATTACCAAAATGAAGAGAAACAAGAACCCAAAATTCAACAAAGCCTAATGCATATGCACCTAGTCAACTCAATCAGTTAAGCTCATTATTCTTACGCTTCTTCTTTAAAAGCCCCAAAAAATAATTAATTTTATTTCCCACCAACAAATAACAAACCAAAGGACTAAACGAGTAAAGAAAGAACACACACACACAAAAAAGGGGGCAAATTTAACTTTTCTTCATTTGAGTGGGATTCAACTAAAACTTGAAAAACTGAGGTTTTAAGCAAACCCCATTGCATTAAATCAACCAAAAAAAACGAAACTAATCCAAAGAAGAAAATTTTGAACACATGAAACGAAGAACACGTAGAAACATGCATTCAAATACGTACATTCGTATCCGTATGTGTAAAATACGTGTATGTATATATATACAGAGAGAGAGAGAGATTCACCAGTGAAGAGAAAGGGAGAGTTCAAGCCAGAAAACAAAAATCGCTTCAAAAACTGGAAGAAGAAAAAAATTGATGGGAGTTCGGCCGGTTGCAAAGTTTCACTGCTGGAGCGCGTGCCCGGCTGGCTCTATGTTTTGTCTGCACGGGAGGGAACGATGTCGTGTTTGGGTAAATATATACTTCCATTATCTTCTTTTTTGATTTCTCCTTCGTTTTGTATTTTTGTATAATTAAAGTCATTGTCATTAATTGAAAAAAAAACAAATTAATATTCCATTTAAGTATTTTTAAGCAGTATTATCACCTTTTTATTAAGACTTAATGAAAAGAAAACATTAAGTATCCCACATAACAAATTTATCGGATCTTGAATTTATAAATATGATTATTTTACACTAAATAGACATATTTTTAGATTAAGCATGTTTGGTTTAGTTTTTTTCTAACTTAAAAGCTATTATAAAGTTCTTATGAAAAATAATAGCTTTTAGAATTAAACTGAAATAGTTTGGTAAATTTTTCTTTATAAGTTATAATTTTGGTTAAAATTATCGTAAATGATATTTTTTTTTGAGAGAGTTATATTGTAATTATTTTTAACAAATGAAGATATTTTTGAAACAAAAATAATTTTTTTTATATTTTAAAAATTTTTATTTTTTTAAAAAAGTTACTTTTTCTTAAGAGTTTTTCAAAATTTATAATTGATCTGACTTTTACTTTTAAGAGATAAATAAATTGAAAAAAAATCAAACCAAATAAGCACTAAAATTATGATAACGGATCTTACTAAATTCTCTAATAATGTAAAACTCCTCACTTATAATAAGTATTAAAGTCGAGATAGATGTGGGTCGAGATAGATCCAAACTAAAATTAGATATTGCACTGGAGAATATAACAAATTTTGCATTAGTAAAATATGAATTAATAAAAGATGAGATGAGTCTTAATTTATACGTATTTTAGTAGATTTGATTTTAGTTAATTTTTATTATTTTAAAATATTTTGAACAAATTTAACACAATTTTTTATCTTATTTTATCTTATATTATATAAAAGAAATTGTGAAATTTTTTTATTTACTTTGCAAAAAAAGTTTGCTTGCATTTTGGGTAGCAACAATAAAGGCCCATTGAAGCAAACGAATTTAATGGATTAAAGAATCTTTCACTAACGTAAATAAATTGACCCAATAAATATAATTGAATTTACACAATTAATTTTTCTAACATAAATATTGACTAAATCTTTATATGAACTAAATAAAATTAAATAAGAAAAAAAAGTATGTAAATTCAAACTCAAAGATTTGAATTAATTTTATATTTGATTAAATAAAGATTTTTTTTTCTGAATCTTTGTCCTTTTAGTCACACAACCTAATTTAAATTTCCCTATATCAATATCTAGATAAATAGAGTGAATTAAAAATTAAATAAGAAAAAAGTATGTAATTCAAACTTCAATAAAAATTCCAAGAGGTCCATATTTTTATTTCTTTGTATGTTTTATTTGGAAGCTTACCAAGTTAAAATCAACAAAGAATTTAAGGTACAAGTTACTATTTTTAGGTTCCAAAATAAGCAAATCGATGCCAAAAACGAATAAATTATAAAATCGTAATCCGTAGCACTAAGCCCAATAGATCGAGGACATATTTTAAAAGCACCAAATATAGGTTAAACTATTTTAATAAAAAAAATACCCTCAAACATTTTTTTAATAACACGTTATTACTTTTACGACTCAATCATATGCTTTAGAAAATAAAATCACAAAATATACACAGTCATATTATAATAACAAAGCCATCAAATATTAACTTTTAATATTTATTCACTACAATAATATGCAACGATTAATAATTAACACGATGATTTTTTTTTCATGCAAAAGATTCATCAGAGTAACAATGGTAAAAACATAACTCATCTCAATTCTTTACTAATTGTGATTGTCATTTGTCACCTATATTTATTAATATTACCTTTTTTTATTTTATTTTGTTAATAAAAAATAAAAACCATTGAATAAAAATCAAATTATAATATTAAATGTGTCAAATGCAAAGACTTAGTTTAATGAAAAGTAAGATAAATGGGAAACATATCTATATAATAAATAAATATAATTTTACACACAAAATCAATAGGAAGAATAGCAAACAATTTTAGACTTTGGTTTAGACTTTATGACTTTGATGCCCAAAATCCCTTCACCCGTGCGAGGACCAACTACATTCAGACGTGTGGAATACATCCCAAGGACGCCTTGGCCAATGCACTAGCAAGATTAGCTCTACACCTCGAAGGCCTCAACAAACCCCAGTGATGTCCTCTTCGGCCACCACCGCAACCGTCACTCGCGGCTACCACCTCCAGATCACCGGCGGCCCCCGGAGGAAACATGGTGATGGGTTTCTTCTGCTTTGTCTTTTCTTCATGTCGCTTAGCTCCATCTTTGGTGGTATCTTTGCTAACCCTATTAAAACCTTGTGTTTTCTTGAGGAAGAAGAAGAACAGCTTTGAGACTTGAAATTTTTAGTCGATAAAGCTGAATTTGGCTTTGACTTCGCTAAACAAAGAGAACCCAAATCTTTCTTGTCGCTGTTCAAGAGTCTAGCCGAAGATAAAGGGAAAAGATACCTACTTTGATCATCAAGATCATCAAAGTCTTGTTCTTTAATGAGTTTGCCACAGAAAACGATGTCGTCTTTATTGTTTGAGAAAGCGTTTAGTGTGAAGGGAAACTCAAAGAGTTCATGAGAAGGAGAGGTCGGTGGGTGGTGATCAAATGGATCAAGGTCTTGCTTTTCAAGTGGAAGGTCACAAAGGGAGAGAGTTTCTTCAAGTTCTTCTTGGTTGGTGTTGTAAGTATCTTTTTGATCCATGCTTTTTGGGTTATTTTTGGAGTAAGAAACAAATTTCCAAGAGAAGAAATGAGAGAGAGAGATGGCAAGAGAAGTGAATAATGGGCTATGGAAAGTTTGATAGCCAACTTTTCCTTTATATAGTTGTAGGATATTTGGTTGGGCTTTCTAGAGGGATGGGTAGTTAAAAATTAAGAAGAATAATAAAAATATTATGGGATGGTTGCTTTGATAGAATAATAATATTATGGGATGGTTGCTTTGATAGAATAATAATATTATGGGATGGTTGCTTTGAAAGGAGGGCTTCTAGAGGGAAAGAACAGTTTAAAGAAGTGAGGAAGAAGAGCAAAGAAACCAAGAATAGTGGGGGTGGGGCAAGAGGTGAAAGAATTGACTAGGGCAAATAGGAATGAAAGAAGCTTCAAAAGAAATTAAATAAAAAAAATCTAAAACCGAGTAGTTTCTCTAGAAGGATAAATAAAAAAATCTAAAACCGAGTAGTTTCTCTAGAAGGATAAATAGGATTGGTCCAAAACGGAGAGAAAAAGAAAAAGAAAAGGCGAAGAAGGGGCATTCCGAGAATTGAACTCGGGACCTCTCGCACCCTAAGCGAGAATCATACCACTAGACCAAATGCCCTTGCTGATGGGAGGTTTTTAACCAATTTTAAACATTTCTAATCTTGAATTTAACTTAAGAACCATAAACCCTTCGAAATGACAAAAACCCCTCTTCAATATTTCGGTCTCTGAAATCTAAATCGAAGGCAAAAGCTGATAGAAATGGCGAGAGCTGCTCTCTTCCACTTGCTCAGATCCCAATCCAAGCAACTCATTTCAAGAAACATCCATTCAGGTTTTCAGAGCGCTTTTTATATATCTAATTTAGACATTTGATTCTATTCTTAATCCTCTATAGGATTTGCTATGATTATTTTCTGGGGGCTTTTCCTTCGATGTGGGAATTGGGGGCTTTAATCATAATTTATAACAATTAAATAGTAACAAAAGCAGATACATTCAAGGAAAAGGATTGGATTTTTATGTTGTTGGGGTGTCCCATTTTTGTCTAAAGATGTAATTATCTTTATGGGCTTTTGGCAATTTTAGCGTTGATGATGCACAAAATATTAATGGGTTTTTAATTATAGGATGTGATTGAAGTTGTGAATTGCTTTTCAATGTCTATTAAGATATTTGAACTTGCGATGAGGCCAAGATAGTTCAAAGCAAGTGAAAAGCATCTAGTGTACTTGTTGTTTTACGGCTATGGTACGTAAAACCCAACCACTTCCTTGTGAGTGCTTTAAAGTTTCATGACTTAAGATGGGGCGGGAATGGAGGATTGCTTTGAGTTATTGTATGATAGAGTGCTCGAAAAATGAGGAAAGCTGCATCTTTGTTGAATTCCTGCCTGAAAGTTCTCTTTCTTTTATTAGTGGCTGCTTGCATATTTGGCACTTGATCTACCAGGACCACATTCAGAATTTGCTTCTGTGAATCATTTGTCACTCATAGACAGCTGAATAATGATATGAGACATTACTTTAGTAGCAAGTTTCTCACCGTATCACTTTACTGTTTTTTGATCTAATCCCCAATCTTTTATGGATTAGAAAAAGATTGGGGATGTGATGTTTCTTGAACTCTTTAATTTCCTTTGTTTATTGTTCAGCAATTGGTTGTAACAGAGCGAACTTCAAAACGTATAGGACTCTAACTACTTACATTGTGTAGCTTGGGAAGTCTACTATGGATTAGGTTAATAATTGTAACAGGACACATGGTTTCATTGCAAGAAAAGTTAAATCTGGATTGCACTTGAATAGGAAAATGCAAGAGTTTGCATGGTTTACTGGACATGCGATTTTGTAATATATTGTGGTCAGGAATGCCATGTTAAGACTTAATTCATTTAATGCTTCTGGTTAGCATTATATGTTACGGATGTTTTGTCTGCCTGTAATTATATTATAAGCCTACAATATCTTATTCTTCTCTTGATCATCTGTGTATAGATGTTGTTGGGTAAATTGCTTATATTACAAAATAGAAAACACAAATTAAGTAAAATGGATTGCATCTGACTTTGCTGTAAATGATCTTTCCATTGCTCCAGGTTATCCTTGTAGGTTGGCAGCATGGTCCTATACCCAATATGCCAAGCCCAACCTCAACTCTGCAACGAGCATTTTCACTGTCCAGAGAAGGTGGACTTCTCAAGCTACAACAACTGAAAATGACAACAAAATCAGCATTGGTCCTCGCAAAGGCAGAGAAGAGGAGGAAGATGAGAAGGAAAGAGGGGTTGTTTACAATGGTCCAATCTCATCTACCATCAAGAAAGTAAAGCTGCTTTCTCTTTCAACATGCTGCCTCTCAGTATCATTAGGCCCTGTAATAACGTTCATGACATCTCCAGATATGAATGTGATTCTGAAAGGTGCAGTGGCATCCTCTGTGATATTCTTCAGTGCTACAACAACTGCTGTACTTCACTGGTTTGTAAGCCCTTACATCCACAAGATCAGGTGGCAGCCGGGTTCAGGCAGCTTCGAGGTGGAGATGATGTCATGGTTGGCAACATATATTCCGCGAACTATAAAGTTTGCTGATATCCGACCACCAGAGACCAACAGGCCCTTTGTGACATTTAAGGCCAATGGAAATTTCTACTTTGTTGATGAAGAGCACTGTCATAACAAGGCATTGTTGGCAAGACTGACACCCCAGAAGGCAACTCATGATTCAGCTCTTAAGAACTTATGATTGGAACAGTTGGGAGCTCGTATAAGTTTCAATCGTCAAGATGAGCTGTAATTTGGATTATGATAAAGCCCTGAACAGTTCAACCCTTTTCGGAGAAGCCTGTTGATTACAGAAACACAAAAGTTTGATGTTTTTCATTAGAATTTCAGTTTATTGCTGCTTGGTAGTTTTTGATCCACATGGTTTCCTTAAGAGGAATAAAAATGTTATATTTGCTTGCAATTGTAGTACTTTAATGACATAAATTTTGCCAATGAAGCTAAATTTGGAGTAGGATTCTTTGTGGTAACTGCTTGGTTAGGAATACAAGACATGTAACTAGCAATGGTACCAACATGATCAGAGGAAAGATCGGCATGCAACGCAGGTACCATGTCTGGCCGTTAAGATTGACATGTTATGTTGTAAATATTGCAACAGCATATGCCAACTGCATGCCCGGAGAGAACCCAACTCATCTTGTGTGCAAATGATACCACATAGATACAAAGCGGTAATAATGGATATCTAACGGCCTTCACTAAACTCTTGATAGATGGACTTGTCAATCAGCAGCTTTCGCTCGGCGGGTAGAGAAAGCTCAAAGGGGTACACACCCGGACCAGTTTATTGAAGAGCCATGAAACAGATAAAAAGAATTGTAGACAAGCCCTCATGATTTGAGGAGCAAGACCATTTAAAATCAATTACATCAATTGCAGAAAAAGGATACAAGAGAGCTAAGTACCTTACTACATCAGTTTAACAAGGTGTAGGAAGATGGCAAAATCATAATAGGAAAACACACAATTTTAGATGATATAAAATGTTTGATAAACATTCAAGGAGCTCAGGAACAGACCTAAAACTCCTGAGCTGGTTATGGTGCAAAATAGCAACACAGAAAAAAGACACCTTTTAATGTTTTAAACTCATAAGACAGCAGCAAATAAGACACTATGGACTCAGAAAATAAAACCTCGCCACCGCCTATCAAGAACCCAGTTCTGTGAACAATATCCTCGACATGACGGTGATAACTTAAAACTATAACCATCAAAACAAGTAATTAAACGCCCAATCATGGACCTACTAACAAGAACCAACTCTTTATTGTAGGAACCATAATAGACTTTAGCTGAATCAGCCAAAACCTGCACGGTTCACTTGCCACCCTTCTTGGCAGCAGACTTGGTCACCTTGGCTCCAGTTGGGTCCTTCTTCTCCACATTCTTGATGACACCAACAGCAACAGTCTGTCTCATGTCCCTCACAGCAAAACGCCCAAGTGGGGGGTACTCAGAGAAGGTTTCCACAACCATAGGCTTGGTGGGAACCATCTTAACCATACCAGCATCACCATTCTTCAAGAACTTGGGCTCCTTCTCAAGCTCCTTACCAGAACGCCTGTCAATCTTGGTCAAGAGCTCAGCAAACTTGACAGCAATGTGGGAGGTGTGGCAATCGAGGACAGGAGCATAACCATTTCCAATCTGCCCTGGGTGGTTCATGATGATGACTTGGGAGGTGAAGCTGGCTGCCTCCTTAGCAGGATCATCCTTGGAGTTTGAGGCAACAAATCCACGCTTGAGATCCTTGACAGCAACGTTCTTCACATTGAACCCAACATTGTCACCAGGAAGAGCCTCCTGAAGAGCCTCGTGGTGCATCTCAACAGACTTAACTTCAGTGGTCAATCCAGAGGGACCGAATGTAACAACCATACCAGGCTTGAGGATACCGGTTTCAACACGACCCACTGGGACGGTTCCAATACCTCCAATCTTGTACACATCCTGAAGTGGGAGACGGAGGGGCTTGTCAGAGGGTCTCTTGGGCTCGTTAATCTGGTCAAGAGCATCAAGAAGAGTTGGACCCTTGTACAGTCAAGGTTGGTGACCTCTCAATCATGTTGTCACCCTCAAAACCAGAAATGGGGACGAAGGGAATCTTGTCAGGGTTGTATCCGACCTTCTTCAAGTATGAAGAAACTTCCTTCACGATTTCATCATACCTTGCCTTTGAGTATTTGGGGGTTGTGGCATCCATCTGTCAACGAAATAGATATATATTAGCTACAAATGCATTACATTATCACTAGACGAACCAATTAGAAACTACTTAACTTCAATTATGAATGCAATAACTTACCTTGTTGCAGCAGCAAATCATTTGCTTCACACCAAGGGTGAAGGCAAGGAGAGCATGCTCACGGGTCTGTCCATCCTTGGAAATACCAGCTTCGAAACCTCCAGTGGTGGAGTCAATGATAAGGACAGCACAGTCAGCCTGAGAGGTACCAGTAATCATGTTCTTGATAAAGTCACGATGTCCAGGGGCATCAATGACAGTGCAGTAGTACTTGGTGGTCTCGAACTTCCACAAGGCAATATCAATGGTAATACCACGCTCACGCTCAGCCTTCAGCTTGTCGAGCACCCAGGCATACTTGAATGACCTCTTGTTCATCTCAGCAGCTTCCTTCTCAAACCTCTCAATCACACGCTTGTCAATACCTCCAAGCTTGTAGATCAAGTGACCAGTGGTGGTCGACTTTCCAGAGTCAACATGGCCAATAACCACAATGTTAATGTGAACCTTTTCCTTACCCATTATGTAGTACTAGACAGGAGCTGGACCAAAATAAAAAAAAAAATTAAACCATAATCCTTTACATATTTAAAGAGCAAAAAGAACAGACAAAAAAGTAATAAACAGGCAACATCTAAGGTATTGATAGGTTTAACTACTTGCTTTCCACATTCAAAAGTACAAACCAAAAAGCACATATGAATCGATAAGAAAAAACTAAGTATGTTTGAAAACAAACACATAATACAGCTTCCTGATATCAAAACTGATGTTACATTTCATTCATTTGCCCATTTTCAATCTACTATGATTTCACATATGAAACATCCGCTATTGACAATCAGTAACTTTTTAGGACGAAAAACAGACAGAACCCAAATAAAACCAAACATATACACTTACTTTAAAGTCTCATAATTTAAAGCAAAAGACATTGAATCATTAAATCATGGACTTTTGTCTCCAAAAATAACTTAATCGCACAACAAAATCCTAAAACAAATTTCGCTTAATATTTTAAGAAACAACAAAATAGCACAAATCCAGCCGTGTAGCTTCATTCTACTCCACATAATACTCATAATTCTCATATGCTCAAACAGCTATCTATAATAAAACAACAATTCCTCTTAAAAAATCAACCAGATCTTCAAATCATTATTAGAATAAATCGTATAACAAACTAATAATAATACAACAGCATGAAAACTAAAACAAATTTAAAGCAAAACAAAAGCAATCTCATCGAAAAAAAAAGGCAAAAATCAGCAAAAAGATCTTCGCAATTATAATACAAGTGAAAAAATAAAATCTTTAAACAGCAAAACAACGAATCCAGAGAATTCAAATCAGGAAGAAAGACAAATAAATCAATTAATCAATGAAAAGGAGCTGACAAACAAATTTTAAATTGGGGATCTGAAGATCGTACCTTTGAGAAGGTGAGAGATTTGAAGCTAAAACCCTAGCGGCTAAGCAAGAGAGATATATTAGAAGAGAGCGAGTGATAGGGTTTCGAGTGAGCCTCACGTTCATTTATATAGTCAGTGTTTGCCCCCGTTCCATGTTTCCTAAAATACCCTCATTCAAATTTTGTTTTGCCAGATGTATCCTTCAGTTACTTAGCTTAGGGGTAGCTCTTTTTGGCACTTGCGTGAAGAATCGAGTGATTTAAACGGACATTTTTTATTGGCAAAGTGAACCGGACGCGTTGAAATCAGAGTGAGATTTGGTTCACTTAAAGTTTCCGGTGCGGGTCAGGGACCGATTGGATGATCCGGGATTGTCGTGAATGTTAAGTATTAAACAATTTTTATTATAAATTTATATAATATTAAAAAAATTAAAAAAAAAAAACAATAAAACTGATGAAGCAGTTGGGCCTAGTATTACCAAATTCGAACTCAATTTAACAGCGAAAGCAATCTAACTCCATAATGAATGAATCGAATTATAAATATTAAAAAATTAAAAAATATTTTTAATTAAAGTATGTTATCAAATCGAGGTTTCAATTCGATTGAATTTTATTCATTTATTTTTTTATTTTTTAATTTGACTTAAAAAATATTTAAATTATTCACATTGAATTCGATTAAGCTTTGTTATATAATTAATTCATATAAAGAGTTCAAAATTCAACTCAATTAATATTTAAATTCAAATAAAAATTTAAATTAACTTAAATAAATATTTTAAATTTAATAAAATTACTTAAGCATTACAAAATTTAAACTCGATTGGACTTGAGAATGACCAAACGAGGTTCTTGTCTTTCTCTTTTAAAAGAAAAAGTTTCTTTATTCATGGTGGGTGGGCCATAAGCATGGCCCACCATTATCTGGCCCATTTCTTATATAAATGCTCAAAAAGTACTTCTAGGCCCAAAGTATTGAAACTAAACCTTTGAAAACAACTACACCTAGTCAATTATTTTTCATTTAATTACTTTTAATATTTTTAAAATAATTTTATTTATTTATTCTCTGTATTTTTGGAGTTAGGTTTTTAAATTTTATATAACCTGTAGTGAACTTTGAATTATTATATCATAAAGATTAAAGATTAATAAATATTATGAAATTGAAATTATAGTAGTTTCACTAGCTTGGGGGGGCCGGGTACGAGGTTGGCACGGCGTCCGTTGCTTTAGGTTTCAAAACGTGCCCTTTTCTAATGTTTTTCTGCCAATGGTTGGATCAGTTCGACACGCGTGTGGTTTAAACGGACGTTTTAGATTACGAAAGTGTTGTTTACGCGTTGTAATGAGAGTGGCTTTGGTTTGGTTTTTGTTTTCAGGTACGTGTCCGGTCGAGATCGAACGTTCTCGAAATTCAATGAAATTTTGTTGATAAACTCCGTTGTGAATTACTCTACAACTTGTAGTGTATAATCTATCAGTAAATGCCGACGGTTTTTACTGCAAGAAATAATCTTATCGATCAAAGTGAGATTTTTTACGGTGTTCACTTATCTATAATATAAAGTAAATGTATATTTATCAAATTGTGTTTAAAATAAATTAAGTTTATAATGAACTTGGAATTTTAGATTAATGGTTCAAGTATGGTTTTATTTCGAGCATAAACCTCAATGATTATTTTATGTGATTTGGGGATTAATCATGAGAAAAAGAGAGAAAAAAAATTATT